TTATGCATATGAATGTATTTCACTAAGGTGATATTTTCGTTTCACTCGTGTATGTAAGAGGTTTTTCAGTTATGCATATGAATTTATTTCACTAAGGTTGATCAGTATTTTCACTAGTGTATGTAAGAGGTTTTTCAGTTATGCATATTAATGTATTTCACTAAGGCTGATCAATGTTTTCACTAGTGTTTGTAAGAGGTTTTTCAGTTATGCATATGAATGTATTTCACTAAGGTTGATCAATGTTTTCACTAGTGTATGTAAGAGGTTTTCAGTTATGCATATGAATGTATTTCACTAAGGTTGATCAATGTTTTCACTAGTGTTTGTAAGAGGTTTTTCAGTTATGCATATGAATGTATTTCACTAAGGTTGATCAGTGTTTTCACTAGTGTATGTAAGAGGTTTTCAGTAATGCGTATGAATGAATTTCACTAAGGTTGATCAATGTTTTTAATTTCACTAGTGTTTGTAAGAGGCTTTTCAATAGTTATGGCCTATACGGCCCCTCATAGTATTGAAGCAAACATGTGAACACGTATACACACACACACACACGTCTAACCTCTGACCTACATCCAACAAAAACAGATCAGAACATTCAAAATGCACACACATAAATCAAAAAGGACAGTAACATATTAGATGAATAAATCATCGACAGGCTGTTTATGTATAGCTGATTAAGTATGTAATTATGTCACTTGGCACACCCACAGAAAAAATGCACACCAGTCTCATTCCATTCATAATACTTCCTCAGCTGAGGTCAGAACTTTACGGCTGTTTCACCTGACTCACTTAGCTAGGGGCCTGGGACGAAAAAAAGACAAAAGCATAGAGTAAGTAGGCCATAGAGTAAGTATGCATAAAGCTTATCGGCAGCGATCCATGTATCTTCACATGGCAACCCACACAACAAACTCTAACAGAGCTACGCTAGCAGAGACAAACATCCTCAAATGTCAATGTTAAAGTGACTTCACATTTTGATTTCTCTAAATCAAAGACAGCACGCTCACCTCTCAAAAAGGCATGTCAAGAGCACATCGTTGCGTGAAATCCAGACAGCCAGAGCAGTGTTGATCTCAGCCCTGAACGCTGCGGTGTGGGAAGCACGCAGACCGCAACGGCTCATACATCTCTCACCATCAAATCTGGTCCTGAAATAGCAGGCGAAACTCCCTCTACTCCACAAGATCAACACAAAAAAATGAGTCTTCTAAACAGCATGGCCTCGGGTTTAATTCTCCACTGGATTTACAGTAAAAGCAGTCTGAATATTTTAATATATGACTACAACTGTAAGCTTGAGCTCAGAATCTGAATAAGTGCACCATCCACACACACACACACACAGACAGACAGATGTTCCCGGTCTGACTGGGACCACCCTCTTCCTGTATGCCACACCTCCTTTCTGCACTGTCCAATGGGAGGGCAATAAGAGAGATTGCATTGAGTTTGACTCCACCCACAATCACAGAGCTGACAAGTGTACAGTGACCAATAGATCTGAGATGTTAGAGTGAACAAAAACAAAGAGGAAAACAATAAAATGGATTACTGAACCAATCACTAGTCTAGTATTGTGCTTGCTAAGCAGTATTATTATTTTTGGCATTTGAAATACAGTTAAAATAAACCAAAACTTGTATATACATAATATAAAATATATATGTATATAACATATATATAAGTTTTGGTTTATTATATGTATAATATAAAATATTTAACAAAATAATTAATTTAATTAAATATTAGTTACACATGGACTAATAAAACTGACAAAAGCCCATTACAAAATGTAAAAAACTAAAATTTAAAATAAAAACTGAAAATAAAAGCCAAATATTAATAAATGGCCTACTATAATAATAATATAATTTTATATTATATAATATATAAATATTACTAAGATAACACTTTTGCTAAGGCAACTAGCACTTTTACTGAACTATTAATGTGATAGACGAATAATACCTTAAATCTCACTTAGGATTTTCAACTAGTGGCCATAAAATGATCAAAAAACAAAAACACCATAAGCATGAATATATTAAAGACTTGGACAACCATCCTAGCAACCACACAGCAACGTGCCAAAACAAATTCAGAACAACTTAGAAACCACATAGCAACACACATCGTGGTGGCAAGTTTTGTGCAAACAAGCACCACATATTTTCTTCAGAAAACATAAAAATGTAGTTTAAACTGTTTAAACCATTTATAAACATAATAAACTAGCTTACACTACAACAAAGTACAAATCCCCACAAATAAAGATGGTTTCTTTACTAGCTTTCTCTGCGTGCCTACAAATAAAGCTTGCTTTTGTTAAAGTGGGTGCAGGGAAGATAGTAAACAAGTTAAAGCCGATTTTGCAAGACTTGATTTGAAATGCTCATAATTCTGAATGCCTTCTGTCTATTAACAGTTTACAAACCTTTGGCTTAGAAACACAGCTGGAGAGGACGATTAAAAAGCCGAACAGCTGTCACAGAACATCTTTACTGCAGATATGTTAGTGATTATTTCCATTTTTTGGAAGTATTTCTGACCTTCTGTAGCAAAGCACTACCAAGCTCTCAGGCATTTTAGGCAATTAGGCCTTTTCAGGCAAATTAATAAATCAAACGTTTTTGGTACTGATTTCAAAAACACATTCAATTTGACAATATACGGCATCTGCAACCAATTTTATTTCTGTAATGGCTTTTTTTGAGTTAAAATGGACTGATTAAAGTTTGAAAAATAAGCACTTCATACCAAAATGGATCTAGGCCTGGATGAGAATGCTGTCAATACTGGTTATATACATTGAACAGCTATTGGTTAACATTCACCAGCTGAAAAAGAAAGTTGTTTCAGAGCCTGACCAAGTTATTAAATTTTGATTAAAGATTTCTTAATAGCGTGCACTGCTATAATAATCCAAAATAAGACCAGGAACATATGTGACTTATGTTGACTTAAACTGACGCTCACACAGAAGATGTCTGGTTACATAGTGTATCTTAACAAACACTGATTGATCATTCAGTTAACATCAGCCATATCACTGATGTTGATAGGTTTGATTTAACTGATTAATCACTAGTTAACGTCACTCAATTGATCTCCATCATCCAATCAGTTGTACTTTCACACAGACACACACAAAAACACGTACACAATGTCTGGTTGCATTCCTAGAGCACTCTGTTTCAGATATGAAATGCCATTATTTTCCCAGAATACTACTTGGAAGCAATAATGAAAGCCTTGGTTTCCAAGAGAAGACCAAATTTCCTCTGTTTAGAGGACACGAACCAGAGTGCATCTGGCTCTTTCCTCTTCTATGCTGAGCACAGGTCACCGAGGTCAGGTTAGGGTCATCGTCAGGAAGTGTGGGCACTGCTAATGGTGATGTATGTCTGTCGACAGCAATTATTGATCATGAACTTTGCTCTTTGCATCAGTGGAGCAGACAAATACATTCACTTCACTGCATCAGCACAACAACCGCTACCATCTGAGGTCAGAGTCTATGCCAATTTTGTTAACATTAACGTTTTTTAATAGAACAATCTAGTTGTAATATCTTAGTTCTATATTGGATCTCTATTTACTGACTACAACTGCATTTCCTGAAGAAAACAACAGTGCTGTCAAAGCAACAAAAAATGCTCAATGCATTGGTAGAAATGCCACAGAGACACATCTCTTTTTCTATCAGCTGTTCATTAACACATAATGTGGTTTTTATGCCTATGCAATGTAGATGACATTCTGTATGCAAAAAGATGTAAGAAAGATCAATTGCAATTCAGAATGGAATATTACTATGATATCATTGTAGTGTTACATTTTGATTAAAATATTCTAATAATGGGAATTTAAAATGTAAATAATAAATTAGGTGGTGCAAATTAATAATTCAAGAATTTTTTTTTAAAAGTATAAAATGTATAAAAAAAGAAAAAGAACGTTTACAATAATGTACAGTATGTGGAAAATAATGTGTTTTTTGAACCTTAAACCGCATAAACACATTTCATTACACCAAATACACAAAATAATGTTCTTTTTAGCAACATCATATGACCCCTTTAAAAGTTTTTTAAACACAAATTTTGTGCATTTAAATGTACAACAAAAAAGCTGATAATGATGAACCATTATGAGCTTATTATTTTAAAAAAGCAAAAAAATTTTTAAATGTGTTTACATGCTTACCATGCAAGCACTGTAATTTAACTATATTTATTTTACTGTCATATCAGCATTAAATGCTATTATTCATTGCAAAATAAAAAATAAATTAAAATAACAAAATAATTTGCTGACCTTTTGCACTTACACATCACAGCACCAGCCTTTCATTACCCCTCAACATGCCTGAACTCCCGCACCTTGACAAGGGGAAACTATTTCAATGTTTTCACTTTCTTTCTTCCATCAATGCAGCGCAAAATGCAAAGCATTTGATCAGATTCAAACACACAAACTTGATCTGATTCCTCAAGCGTAAGGTGTGTCTTGAGTAAACTTTTTGAAGGAGAAAACATACAGCCATCTCCTCTCTGAGGGATTTCTCACACCCTTAGACTTTCAGGTATAGAGATGGTGTGGGAAATGGGTGTGTGCCTGATGACAGGATGTGCATCACGACCCATGGGCCTATGGGAAAGTGTTTATAGCATGACCACACATTAGAGGGTTATTCCACCACCCACCACTGACCTTGCCCCAGATTATCCCAGAACAACCTCCCTGCTCCTTTCAAAATACTGTAACAAAGTGAAGAAATATCACCGTTCCCTTTGGCCGAAAACCTCTTATGATGGAATGGATAAAAGCTTGAATAAATCAGAATTGGAAAAGTATAAAGGTTACAAAAGGCCAGAAGAAATCACTCATCTCATTTACACAAGAGTCATATCAACACACCCACTCATTACACGGCAAAAAACCTCTTTTGTGGCCATAAAAGAAGGGATATCCTGTTTCCTCAAAATAGAAACATGCACAAAGTCACTGTCTAAACAGACAAAGTCAAATTCTAATAGAAAAACGTGCCAGAAAGATCTTGAAAATGCAGCAGCCAGTCCAAACCGGTGAAAGTGTCCTGTCCTCTTTATATGATACGATCCAAATCTAATCCAAAGCAGTCAGAGCTAATGTTTTATGGACAATATAGTCAATGTTTTGGAACATGAATGAAGGAAACATTTTTTTTTACTTTAGGTGTGTCACACACACAGGCGGATGAATTCAAGGTGTGACAACTCAGAACCTCGCCCTTTAGAAACAACCTGTGATTTATTTAAACATATAGCTGTATATGACAGCCAGTGTTGACAATCGCCATTTAACCATCAAGTCTGACAGCTAGTGGTAGCTAACATGGAAATAATTAAGTTAGAGACATGACCCAGCATTCCCTAACCCTACCGCAACTATTATCGGCCTCATTAAATACGGCAGAAAGTGAATAAATAGTTTGTTTTTTCAAAAACAGTTCTGGCAAGAATTGCGGCACAAACAGTCTTGCTTTTGTCTGTAGTCGAGGGGATGAAGCTGGGAGCTCTGTGGCCTTTCTTCCATGCCGCAGGACAAATGTAGTCAGTTTTCCCGACCATTATTGCGCTAATGTGCGCCCCGAAGGGCTTCTAGTCATTGCCAAACCCGAAGAAGCATACTGGTTCACCCTGGTAACAAAAAGGGCAATAAAATTCCCCCCGAGAATCACACTGCCACTGGCTACTGTTTGGAAACACCCTACCGTATGTGCCGGCACCAACCCAGAGCCAATTAGAGACCTTCAGACTTGATTGCATTTTCAGCCTCAGCGGTCTTGTTGAGGACTTGCATTTCCACTTAAGCTAAACCCACATTTGCACACATTTCATGGCCCACTGAAATGTTTAGTTAATGCTGGCAGGTCGCAGGCATTCCCTTCTGCAAAGCTATCTAGCGCCCTCAGTTCTCGAATACAATGACCTCCAAAACATCTTTGTTTCAATCCCCAAGCGTATTTATTGTCGGCCTGTCTTCCTGGTGCAAGTGGAGTTCAAGGCTACACCGTTTCTGCTGTTTCAGTAAACTACTTGAGCCTCTGATATGGAATCAAAGGACAATGGCTGTTGGCCGCCACCTTCTCCATCTGGTGAATCCATTACTTAAAACCCACTTCGTAACTACGTCACGCTTCCCCATGTGTCACTGAGGCTAAAGGACAGGGGTTTTCTAACTGGAGAAAAATAGTGCAGAAATAATAAATAAAATAAAATTAAATTAAATTAAATTAAATTAAATTAAATTGTATTGGCTGTCCTAACAATGGA